CATATAATTGGAATTTAATCATAGATTGAACCATATCGAAAGAAGACCATGAAAACTACACTAATCAAAGAGAGTAAAATGATTAACTATTAACTTATATATAACAATGAGACCAAAAAGAAAAAAACTTTCTCTATATTTAATCTGATTAAAACTGTATCTGTTTATGTTGTAGTCTCTTCAGCTTTCCTCTGCACTAAACTTGGAATCACACTACTTCTTTTTAATCTCCGGTTATTGCCAATTCGGTTCCGGGTCGATGAAGATCGGTCGGCCCAATTCTTGTCTTCTGCAACTGCTTGGTTCCACCGTTCTTTAAAAGCTTGAAGCTCCCACGTTGATTGTCTCCGTATCTGCTTACAAAATACACACACATTACACTACTGCTCTAGAGACAAAAGAAAGTTCCTAAAGCAGATTCATCATCGGGCAATAATAACTCACCTCTGTTCTTGAATCAAATGTGGCAGAACCGCGTCTCTGTACAGAAGAAAAAAGTGACCAAAGTTGTGAAATTTCTGTTTATTTTACAGTAAAAAAATGAGGATTTGGATAGTTCATGTAGCTTACCCGATTCACTCTGCTGCGAGCTGAGTTCTGTGGAAATTAGGAAGAGAATATTCGTTTATCGGTTTTCGGTATATACAAGAAGGATATGAAGGGAAGTAGAGGAAGGATCTTACCTTCTTATCGGGATAACCGCTTCCACCTAGAGTTTGAATGCCTTGATGGAAGATATATTCACTGTCGACAATGCCTACTTTCTTGCTACGGTCACCCTATAACGACATTTTCAAAACCGATTCATCTAGAGAATGCAATCGGGTAACAATGCTAATGATGTTGGCAAGTCTTAAAGAAGAAAAAGAGAAAAAAGACTTTACCTGAGCACAGTATCCAAGTTTCATATCCATTCCCCAGCCATGAACCAGATCATTCTGCAAACCGCAACAACAAGAAGTTGGATGCAATTTCATTTAAAGCAGAGCAGATATATTGTTTATAAGCGTTCATTTTGAAAAATTACTTGTATTAGATTCCAAGTGCAAAACCACGCAGATCTCGAAAACACTGGAGCCATTCCTTCAACAAATCTAGAAAAACAGAAAAATACACAAACAATGACATTAATTTTTGTGTTTTGGTATATAAGAGAAGTCTTAAATTGTTATGCTACTTAAGAAATTTTACCCGGTGCATGGAGGCCCTTCACTAGCATTTGAACACTTCATATTGCCTCTACTATCGTAAACTCGCCTACGGTTTTGTAACCATCTTGTGTAAGTAATAAAAGACACAAATTATTAATAGAACTCCTTAACAAGTGGTTCACAAGGAACTCACCTATGAAATATTTTCGTTCTAGACCGGACTGTAATTCTATGGTGAACTTCGGTTGAGTTTGGGTGCAAGGCCGGTTGAGATATCTCCAGTCCCGCTGTTTTAACTATCCTCAGGTACCTGCAGAGAGACTGTTTAGAAAAGGCACTCCAAGATTTGACCTTTATAGGTTGTAAATTCACAAGTTAAGTGGTAAAAGGAATTTTACTTTTCCGGGTTGAAATTCTCCACTCCAAGATCTTCATCCCAAAGAAAAACATAATCGTAAATGGAGACAATATCCGGATGGAGAAAACGTTTTGCGAACCACCTGAGTAATATCAATTTTTTACAAACCATTGTTACAAGCCATGTATATAGTTGATCATCATAGATTTTTATATTGGTAAAATCATTATACCATTTTGTCTGGTTATGTGCAACAATGTGTATGGCTTTTGAGCTCCACTCTAGATCCCACCATTGATCCATGTTTCCATCATAATGAAATAGAATGACAGTGAAATTTGCAGGAAGAAACTGAATTCAACGAACAAACTTACATTAGAAACAGAAACTTTTCTCCAACCCTCAAAAATTTCAGTAATTCACTGACATGGACAAAGCATCCTTACCTTCTTTACAACAGCATCAACATTATCCTTTTGCTTAAGTCCTACCGGCATTGCCAACAAGTTACGGTTGGTCAATTCGCCGCTCTGTTGTAAGAGAACAAAAGACATCAGAAAATTCCTATAGCAACAAATATATCTGATTCCTCTATCTAAAGCTTACATAAAAATCTAACCTTTGACCTCAAACTACTACTTGACCAAAGTGGCTTTAACTCCAAATCTGATCTAGGTTGCATGATACCAAAAGGCAAGCCTTTCAACTTTTCACTGACCGGTTCAGATTCCTGAACAAGATCCCCACACATCAACTCAAGACCGGTAATGCATCAACATTAGAAACAAAGAGATTCAATATGTTACCTTTGCCATCTCAAATGGATAATCTGTTTCTTCTATCTGATTAATGAATGCATATACCAAACAAAAGAGAGTTACATATCAATAATCACATCGTTATATCTAAACATAAAAGCTATGTCTTGTCCATAATACCTCTGTCTGTTCATACTGAATATTTGTAGTCTTATACCAAAAGATCAAAAGTACTGTACACATGAGCACCACAACCGGTTTCATTTTCCACGACGATTTACCCTGCAGATTCCAAGCATTCCCACATCAAAATCAACCGCTTAACCCGGAAAATCGCGCTGAGATACAGAGGAAAAAGCTATACTTACCCCTTCTTGAGCATTGTTTCTTCTCTTAACAAGTGACTTCCATGATTTAATAGACGGTAAATCATGTTCCATAATCTATTAACCGAGCTACAAAAACCACACACAAACCAAAATTCATCAATTTCCATACAAAAGACATTCCAAAGTTTTCATCAATCAGAAAAACTCACCGAAAGCCACCGTCTTTGTGTTCCCTTCACAAGAACAGAGAACAAAGAAACCAAATTCAAAAGCTTCACCAAAATCTCAGTTCTATACAAGGCTGATCTACGCACATGCAACAAGAATGTATCTTTTTGAAAAAATCTACACGAGAAACACAAAATTCAGAGGCTCCACATTAACACAGCAAATAAAAATCGAAACTTTTTTAGCATGTAACTAATAAATCTTTCAAACAAAAATGAGATATTTTCTACAATAATGAGAAGATAAAAAAAAAAGCTTAAAGAAACACACAAAGATGGCTTCTTTCAGAGTTTTAACTCACTCTCCCAGAGACAGACGAACACAATCTGGGCCACTGTTGAAAGCGAAACGGCTAAGGATTTGTATAAATAAACGAATAGAAACAAAGAGTTTTTATTATTGGATTTTTTCTTCTTCTCCAGATCTAGGGAAAGTAAATAAACTCTTAATACTAATGATGAAATTAAAAACAAAAAAAGTTGCTTTGGTTAATTACGACATTAATTAACAACAACAACAAAAAATTAGTCATTTAAGGTTATATTTAGGAAGAAATCTGGTCACGAACTGTTCAACAAAATTAATGGCGGTGCAATAAATTTCAAAGATGTGATCTTTAATTAAAACATTAGACAACATACAAGAAACAGAGTAAGAAGAAAGATTAAAAACAGACACAAACCTTAAAGAGAAGAAATCTGAAGCTTTAAGATTGTAGGAGTCACTGTAATGAAGCAAGAAGATACGTTTAGAGAGAAAGTAAAGTGTTTACACTTTTAAAGGTGAGATTTTTACCAAAACCAATTTCAAGAATCGATCGAAACCAAACCAAACCCAACAACAAATGTTCTACGCTTAATCAGAAGAAAACAAAAAAGAGAGAAGAAGCTTTGGTGGAGTGATTCGTGTCATCTGCTGACTCTATCTCTCTCTCTCTCTCTTCGTGAAAAAATATAATTTACTTAATTGTTTATTAAGTTAGATTCTGCGACCAAATACGAGAATTAGAAGAATTTTTTTTAAAAAAAATTTTAGTAATGTGTGGTGTATTTATTTATAACGAAAATTTAAAAAGTATTTTCCATGTTTTGCGTTTCCTCAATTATTTTAGTTTACAACAACTTTCAATAACAAAACGAACATAAGTGTGTGTGGTTTGTGCTTAAAGCAACTCCAAATCCAAAGCACCAAAAAGTTTTTTTACTACTTCTCGGGTTGTTCAACTAGAACATGACTTATTACATGACTTATTGGCACTAACTGATTCCGATTGGCTTTTGTTTTTCAGATTTGTCCAAAGTTTGTTGACTCAAAGATGCTAAATCCTAAACCGGAGTAAACCACCCTTGGCTTATCTATACTAGTATTTTTTTTTTTTTTTGTCAAACATCTATACTAGTATAATTGCAGCACTTTTTGTAACGGGTGGGTAAAAAAGCTTTCGGGTATATCGGATATCCGACCCATTTTAAAAATTCCTTCACAAAAATTTGTTGGGTCGGGTTATATTTAACCCAACTCATACACTAGATATTCCATATTTAATAATTTAGATTTTTAGAAGATTTGATTAAGATTTATAATTATGATTCTCCTATCATCTTTGTTTGATTTGTTTTTAACTGTTTTGAATCATCATATAATACATAAAGTAAAAAAAAAATCAATTTTTTTCTGCATATACTGTGATTCGAAATTTTAAAAACGGACATATATTATCCAATTGACGAAAATGTGTGTTCAACGTTCTACATCGATTAAAATATTTAGACAATGATTCAGAATCATATCATAAATAAGAACATTAATAAAATAAATGAGTTTTTTGGCGGGATGGGTTTAGCGGGACGGGTTTTTGAATCAACAATAATAAAAAGATTAAAATATCATTAATCCGCCGCTTCAATACGGATTTAATCCTTATTTTTTTAATACAAATCACAGGACGGGTTAAGAAATTACGGAACGGGTTATATTTCGGAAATGATTTATATGGCGGACGAATTTGAATCAATATTTATATACCGCTTTAATACTGGTTAAATCCTCAGTTTATTAATAATTATCTCGTGGACTCGTAGTATACCGTTACTTAATAACAATTGTAAACTATAATATAAATAAATATGTTATAAAGAGATACAATTTACAAAATATTTTTATACTAACTTTAAAATTAAATCATTCTGCGGTGTACCGCGGGTTAAAATCTAGTTTATACTAAATTGAAATACTGCTTTAATACGGTGATTCTTATTATATGAGAAATTGGAGAACTGAAACATCGAAGATATATGAAGATGAATAGATGATCAGTGGATGATGGGCATGACATGAACCCCAAGTTGACGAATCATGCTACTTGCTTTTCCATGGAACCCAGCGATTTTGTAGCCTTCTTTCTCGAGTAGAAATGCTATACCATTTTCACGTTGTCCTACATATATCTTTCTAACACCATCGTAAACACCATCATCCCAAAAAGCTCCTCGGTCATAACCTTGTGATTCTAGTTTCTCCGCAGTAGGAGGAAGAGGCAGAGGAGAAAAATATGCCCCAATAGCAGTAAGATAAGGAAGAAAAGTCCATCCATGGAACCCAACTAGAGCACAACCTTTGGTCTCCAACACGAATTTAGTCCCAGTCACGCTTCCAAATGTCGGAGAGATTTTCCCTTTTGATGTTTTGAAAACCAAAGACGTAACGCAGTTCACTTTCCTAATGCTAGAATATTTGAAAGTACCATCCACAGATGTGATAAATTCATTTGGATAGTCTAGCTCAAACTACAGTAGAATTAAACTTCTTATTTTAGATACCAATCAAGAACAAGAGTATAAGCTATTAAGGAATCTGACCTCTTCTACTTCTTCCCGTGCTGACGCTTCGCAACTGTGTGATTACTGATGTAGTCCAACGTGATACACGCTACACGATTGATAGAATAACTAACATACACCTTTCTTATGCCGTCGAAAACACCATCATCCCAATACTCGTTTAATTTACTACCGTGACATACCGATTTACTAACAGAAACTGTTGTGGAATATGCTCCAAGAGAAATGAGGTTCTTCTCAGCATATCCATGAAATCCAATGATTTTCCTTCCCTTGTGTGCAAGTGAAAACTTCTTATCCTTTTCATATCCCAGCAGCTCAGAAGTCTTTCTGTTAGTTTTGAATGGCTCTAGACTCGTCGTCGTAGTAACCCTCTACAGATACCAAATGTTCATTGTTGAGATGGTCAATCTCAAACTGAAAACAATAAGAAAAAGAAAATGGTGGAAAAAAAGAGGTTAGAAATCAAGTCAATAATGAGAACATGGGAAATTCCAATACATACCATACCGCCTGCGAGAAACCTCTACCCGAGAGACCGTGGACTGAGCCAATTTTAGGTTGTCCACTCTTGACATAATCGAACTTGATGTATTGAATGCCTTCAAAACCACCTCTTATAATCTTCATGGTCTGCTCCATCATCCCATTGTGTGCCTCCCTTGCTGCCTTTTGCTTCTAATTTACTAGCAGGAATCCATGTGAAATATGCTTCAAGGGAGTTTACTAGTGGACAAGTCCGGCTTCTTATATACCCATGAAACCAAATGATAATCTTTCCCTTGACTGGAAGTATAAAATTGGCACCCTTGCCATATCCAATCAGTTTAAAAACCTTGAAATTGGTTTTAAATTGAAGTGCTCAAATGTTACAGGATGTATTGTTGTAATAACCCTCAACAGATTCAAGATGCTCATTGTTAAGATGGTCAATCTCAATCTGCATTAGAAAAGAAAACAAATATTGTTAAGTAACATTGATACAGCGAAAACGGATAAAAGAAGTTTTATTTATGTTTCGAACTGGGACACCGTACGAGTGCAACATAACTTTTGGTACGCTATAGCTTAATATATTTCAAAGACATACCGTTTGTGTGAAACCACTATCCCAAACACCAAAGAGTTCTCCACTTTTAAGTTTGACATATTCAAAATGGATGGTCTGAATACCGATGTCACCACCTCCCAGTATGCCTATCGCTTCCAACATTTCGATCATTGTGAACTAGTTTAGATAATCATACATATAGAGTCTGAACGAATTACCTTGTGCATATGTTTTCCCACTGTGTTACTGTTGTTGAATTAAATTTGATACACGGTAGTTAAGTGGTTATCAAAGCGAATGTACACTTTTTTTATGCTGCCGAAAAACCCATCATCCCTATATTTGTTTCTAGTACTAAGGTCGATTATATCAATAGTCGACAACATAAAGATGTATCAGTGCATGGTCTCTCAAGTTGGCGATTATTGACTTAATTTTCCACCAACTTTTCTGTTACAGTTTTGAGATTAATCTTCTCAACGCCTGAAGATCTCATATATGTAGAGGGTTGTGACTACTGACTATTCATCTGGTCTAATTCAAGCACTTCAATTCAAAACTAACATCAAGACTTTCGAGCTGATGGGATATGATAAAAGTAAGAAGTTCCACTTGCAGATCATTATCCCACTGCTTGCCTCCCGCAACCTTTAGCTTCTAATCGTGTATGTCATAGTCATATATCCATAAAAGTAAAAACCCAATGATATATGTCCCTTGAATGCAAGTGAAAACTTGGTACCATTTATCATATCCAATTAGTTCAAAAACCATGAAGTTGGTTCTGAATTGAAGTCCCTGAATGAAACCGGACGTGGCATCATCGTGATCAACCTCAACACATTCAAGATGTTTGTTATTGAGATGGTTAATCTCAAACTGCCAATATCCACATAAAATTCAAATAAAGGGAGTTTGATTAAGTATATACTTCCAAGAGATACATAAACATACCGTCATAAATAGAGCTCCACTTTTCGATTGTCCAATATCCTTGTTGACCTAAAAAAACATAAGTGGGATGACGGATCTGACCATGATGGTGTTTCGACCCCTGGATAACTACCTCGTACATAAGTTTCTGCAACACCATCATGGTCGGATCCATCATCCCGCTTGTGGTCTCTCTTTTTGCAATAGTTTATGTCACCATGAACTGATTTGAATCTTCATACAAAGAAAGGATTCTTGTGTTAATCATTTTCAAAAACAAAATCAACCTTTAGGTCATTTGAAGGGACTAAAATCATTTGAAGGAAACAGAGAAGAAGATCAAGTTTCTTATTCAGCAACATTTGGATAAATTTCTTGTTATACAAGTTTACAAAATATGCTAATTACAATTACATGTAATTTCAGATTCAGAATAATAACATTTTCCGCAGTGTCTAGATGCTCATCGAATTCAGCTCTCCAATCATAAACATATTGTTGAAAATGTAATTCAATCAGAAATAAGGTTGTGACATTAACACAGTTCCATAAATCAAAGAAATATCACTTTCCAATTAACCAAAAAGACAAAACAAGTATCACTTTCCAATATCACTATGTTCCAAAATCAACCAACTGGAAAAAAACTCAAAAACAGATTTAATCAAAAATACCTCGTGTATGTTCGAGTTACGAACTAAGTCCCTGCGAGTCGATGATCCCAAAATCGAAGAAGCCATAAGTTTCACTGTTGTCGACGAAGCCAAGGAGATGCATTCGTCGTATGATCTGGATCGGGGAACGTCGCGAGTCCTATAAAGGAAAGCAGTGCTTTCATCGTGTCAATGAACAACGACGTAGTTAAATACACTAAACGGCGTTAACAACGATGTGTTTATTTTATTTTATTTTTGTTTTCTGCACTTTTTTTTAACAAGGCAAGAAAGGTTGATGTATTTTTTTTTGTAATTTGTGTAAAGTTTTTTTTTTTTTTTTTTTTTTTTTTTTTTTTTTTTTTTTTTAAATGTTGTTTGTTACATTATTATTTTTTTTTTGTATGAAGTTTTTTGTTACATTTTTTTGAATGAAATTCCTTTTTCATGTTGTTTCATTACATTAATTTAGACAAATACTCTTAAAATCACTAAAACAAGTTTTGTGAACAATTATAACACATCCTCCACAAACTTTCACAGATAGCATAAGTTGACATAATTATTATATTATTATTTTATTACTTGTGAAATAATAAAGTTAAGAGAAATACCCTATAATACTATTAAACTAAGTTTTTGTTTTAAAAGTAATATCATTCATTTTTTTTGTTTCAAAAATACCACTACTAACATTTTAGTTCAAAAATACCACAAACACTAAAAATATATTTTAAGAGTTTATAATTTCAAATTTTGGGTTTAGATTGTATTGAAGGTTTATGTTTTATTTTTAGACGATTTGACATTCTTTTAAATATTTTCCAAAATTAAAAATATATATTTTATATTAAATTTGTGTTATTTTTGAAACATTGGAGATGATGTGATAAATATAGAAACAAGGGTGAATTAGCTGTATAACCAAAATGACAAAAGAAATTAAGAATATAGCAGGTTAAAGTGAGAAACAAAACAAGTAACCATTTCGTTTCGTTTAGGACGAAAATGCCCTCATTTGGTGTGAAAAGCTGTCAGGAAAGAGACTAGGAGCCACCTAAAATGTATCTTCTCTTTTATGGATAAATTATTTACTTACCCCTCTTCAGTTTTGTTTTGCTGTAATTTCATTAAAACAAACTGATTCGAACTCCAGATTATATTTAAAGAAACATAAAAAAATTCTGAATTATCGTGTTTTGAATTTTTTAAAATTGATATAAATGTTTTACAATATAAAAAAGTGGTTATAAATCAAACGTTTCATTCTATGCAAAACACACAAAAGAAAATAGTATAAAACATAAAACATTCTATATAAACATACTAAAAATCAAAAACAAATTTAAAAATCAAATAAACCAATTGAAGGAAAAAATTTAAAACTTATGAATAAACACAAAATCAAAAAAATATATTTTTATAATTATCTTTAAAAGAATATGTATGTCGACTTTTTGAGAAATATGTGTTAAATACACGCCGAAAAAAAAACTATACCCTAAGAGATACTATATAGGGAACCCAAAAGATAAATTTAAACGCAAGTCAAATAAGTACCACTTTACTCTGAATGATACAATAAAAAAGATTCAAATTGTTGAGTTAAATGTACGCCAAAGAAGAACGATATACCCTAAAAATACAATATAGGAAATCCAAGCGGTCAAATTAAACGTACGTAAAAAAACATATATCATAAAGAATATAATATGTAAAATCAACATAAATTATCTACCGGTAAAATTAAAGAATAGAGTGATTTATGTTCTATATAGAACGATGGAAAATTTCTTGTAAACTTGTTTATAGATAATTAAAATAGTATAGTATCAAAAATAATAGTATAGTATCAACTTAAACCGTATAGTTTGTGATCATCTTAGTTACATATTTAGCGTTAAATTTGTTAGTTGTAAGAACAAATCCAAGAAACCAAATCAAAATAAAGACGGAGAAACACCAAAGTGGGTATAAATTTCTATTGATCACACAACTAATTCCATAACGACAATATAGTATAGTACATTCATGTTATTTAGTTGATTTGGAAGCACCATGGTGAATAGGTAGGTGGGAGTGGCGATGAGTTCGTTGTAAACTCGTTGTAGCCACCGAGAGTGTAGTCACGATTTTAACCGGACTTTGAATGAACGGTTTTGGGTAGGTGAAAAACATCGGAAAAGAATGCGAGTCTATTGGATTCTTCGATTGAAATCCGAGTAAAAGTTGTTACGTTTATCATTCCAACAAAACTGACTTCTTCAGGAAAGGAGTACATGATGAACATATATCTTTTTTCTGTGAAACACTTCTCTAAAATCCAAATTCAATTCACTGAACGGAGACCTCTCTTATACTAATATTTATTTTGTAATTTTGAAACCATAAAAATGAAATTGACACTAAATTAAGAAATGGAAAGAAATATGAGGAGTAAAAATGGCATCAATTTAAAAAGAACTCAACTATGCTTGAAATTGAAAGAGAAAAAAAAAAAAGAATATTGTTTAATGTTTTAATGTCAATGGCAGATGGAAAATAGAGACAGATGGCAGATGGAGAAATGAAAACAAATGGCAAGGTTAAGATGGTCAATATATAGTTTATACAAGGTATATTATAGCAAGTTTTTTTTATGGTTACTTATTTAATTATAATTTTTTTTATGGTTATACAATGCAATTTCTCATTACAGAACTATACCAAACTCGCCACCAGAAGTAGACAAAAAAGAATTAGTAACTTAAGCAAACTCTCGTTTTAACTTGTTTTAGACATTCTCGATTTTGGATTGCTACAACACTAATTAAGAAAAATCCAAACAAAAAATAATATTACAAATATAAAAGTAGTAAGTTAATTTTTATAAATAGTTCTCATGAAGGTGATTGTTATTACATGAGAGATTGCATACTTATGACAACAATGGAGACTAGAAGATGATCACTCGGTGAAGGGCACAACATGGACCCCGAGTTGATTAATCATGTTACTTGCTTTTCCATGAAATCCAACAATTTTGCAGCCTGCTTTGTAGAGTAGAAAGCTTGAGGTAGATTCAAATCCAACGGGTATAGATGTTCGTTTGTTCGTCTTAAACCTAAGCATAGTTATAACTTCGACTTCACTTCCAATTACTCTGTCGTAACAACCATCCACGGCCGTAATGTATTCACTTGGATATTCGACCTCAAACTGTAAAATAATATTAATGTAATATGTAGACCTAATTAATAAATCCCAAATCCAAAAAAAATAATAATAACTCTAAGTGATAGTTAATCACCTCTTTGATATCTAATGGTGTTTTGTTTCCATGATCATCTCCAATAACCATTCGAGTATCCTTATCGTACACAATCTTGAGGAATGCGATACCATTTTCGCATTTTCCTACATATATCTTTCTAACATTATCGTAAACACCATCGTCCCATGAACCTCCTTGATAACCACCTTGTGGTCGTAGTTTCTCTGCAGTGGGAGGAGGTATCTGACTAAAATATGCCCCAATAGCAACGAGATCACGATCATTGTGTCGTCCATGGAACCCAACGACAGCACATCCTTTGTTCTCCAACACAAATTTGGTACCAGACACATTTCCAAATGTTGGAGAGGTTCTCCCTTCGGATGATTTCAAAATCAATGACGTAACCCTCGTATCGCTAGGCCCAAAGGTTTTGAATGTCCCCTCCACATAAGTGATCAGTTCGTTTGGATAGTCGAGCTCAAACTGCAATAGAATCATGCTTCTCATAAGAGACTAATAAAGAACTTATAGTCCATGAATATATTTCAATTTTTAAGGGATTTTTAACCTCTTCTTCTTCTCCTTCGTCTTGTATACTTTGCCACCCGTGTTGTCGCTCTACAACTGTGCGGTTGTGGTAGTGAAATGTTATACTCTTTATGTTAGTGGTATTATAACTAACATACACCGTTCTTATGCTCTCGAAAACACCATCATCCCAAGATATGCCTCCAGTACCACCGCGACATTCTGATTTGCTAATGGGAACCGTTGTGAAATATGCTCCAAGAGAGTAGAGATACTTGTCAGCATATCCATGAAAGCCAACAATTTTTTTCCCCTTGTCTCCAAGTAAAAACTTCTTACCCTTTTCATATCCTAGCATCTCCGAAGTCCTGAAGTTAGTTTTAAATTGAAGTGATTGGATAACACCAGATGCAACGTCGTAGTAACCCTCAACATATACTAGATGTTCATTGTAAAGATAGTTGATCTCAAACTGCAAAAATAAAAAGAAAGAATTGGTGAACATAAAAGGATTATAAATTTAGTCAATAACAAAACGTTTGGAATTTCATTGTATGCGTACCGTTTGCGTGAAACCGCTACCCGAGAAACCATGGATTGATCCTTCTTGGGCTTTTCCACTATTGACATAATCAAATTTGATATATTGAACGCCTTCAAAACCACCTCGTACATGAATCTTTGCTATACCATCATGGTCAGCTCCATCATCCCACTTATGGCCTCCCTTGCTACCTTTTGCTTTGAATCTTGTAGGATGATTCCAAGTGAAATATGCTCCAAGGGAGATAATATTTCTATTCCTCATATGGCCATGGAACCCAATGATATTCTTTCCCTCGACTGCAAGTGTAAACTTGTTACCCTTATCATATCCAATTAGTTCTGAAATCCTAAAATTTGTTTTAAATTGAAGTCCTTGAATGTAACCAGATTCATGGTCGTAGAAGCCCTCTATAGATTCGAGATATTCATTGTTGAGATGGTTAATCTCAAACTAAAAAAAAAAGAAAGAGTTGAAAACAAAGATTATAAATCAGTTAATACGATCCACATATATAAAACAGGGTAAATGGATTTTAGTTTAGTATACATCAAAGACATACCGTCTCTATGAAACCTCTATGTCGACGACCAACAAGTGTTCCAAATTTCAGCAGTCCACTGTTTACATATTCAAACTCCATGTACAGAATTCCTTGAAGACCACCTCCAACAAAAATCTTGGAAACACCGTCATGGTCAGAACCATCATCGAATGTGAAGCCTTTTTTGCTACCTATAGCTTCCAATCTTTGTGTCATCAATCTTCAAACATGGAGGAAGAGTATTTGTTAATAAGCAATTGAATTGCATCATTTCATGCTGTATTTGTACAAGTTCTTAAACATACGCTCATGATGTTTACATAAAAAAAAAAAATTGCACCAGAATAATATATAAGATTCTAGAGCTAAAACAATAAAGAACTCCGCAATGACCTTGGTTTGCTGAGGACAAGAAGACTTTGATGATCGGAGATTACTTCGGAGAACAATTAAACATGGTTATGCATAAAGGGATGTATTTATAAATTATGGATGAATTTGTCTTTATAAATAATATACAACTGGGTCACAACTCTATATTTCAACGACCAAGTGCATATTTCTTACATACCGATTCCTAGGGGCAATATTATATAGAAATGGTCTCACAAACCTCTAAGATGTCAAACAACTTGATTTCTCTTGGAACCTTTAGAGAATCAAAATTACTGATTTCAATCCAAAGATGGAGATCTAGCATATCCAAATGCTTTGTTAGCACTTTACTTTGGTGAAATGTTTGATTAGCCCTGTCAAAATTTAGGCTCATCGCTATGTGCGATTGTACAACCTTCTATCGATTTTTTCTATGATTAGTAAATAAGTTAAAAGGTGACAATGAGAGAAACTAACAATGAGATTAATGTACATTTTTTCAACAATTAGTGTTTCCAATGATCATGATTCATCACTGTCTATGCCTGCAGATTAGATTAACCGAAATATGAACTTCTACATCAAATAAGCTTTCTCTGCCTAACTACAAACAACATATGAAACAAACCCTTCATAAAAATCATCTAACCCGGTTCCGCTTTCTCCCCATCAATGCAGGAGATTCGAGTCCACGATTTGCTTGTCTACCGTCCTTTCTTCTCTCTACCGCTGTTCCCTTCTTACCCGCTGCTGAGGATTTCACAGCAGCAACTGGTAAATCCGTAACAGACCTTTTGTTACCCCTGCTTGAAGTCTTTGCCATATCATGCACAACCGTTTTGAGAGGGTGCGCCCCGGTTCTTGGTTTTTTAGCTGCCAGACTCGTTCTGACAGAAGGAGATGTAGATTTCTGAGGAAGAACCACAACCTTTGTGCTTGCAGTAATGCTGCTGCGATGAGGATGATGATCTTCTGTCAAATAGTGTCTTAGAGACTTTGTAACAATGTCTCTAAGGCTCACCGCGGATTTGTATTCACGAGTGTTCTTAGAGTAAAAAATAGCTGCATTGTTCGCCACCAAAAGAAAGTCCCTAAAAAGCTCTTTCGCTGAAGATATCGAACAACCGTTGATTCTTGATTGTATAGTGTCTAAATCCATATGCCTCTGTACCAATTTCTTGTATCTCCCCCTTTTCTGTTTAGCACAAAAAAGTAAAGAAAGAGATAAGCGAAAAAGTGGTTTCAAGCGAAGACTAAAGGAGTATTATATATGATCATCACCTGGCTATCAAGCCGTCTACGGAAGACGAGTGCACATTCGTTCTGTACGATAGTGTTGTATATCTTCATAAGCTCCTTTGGTATAGCCAAACCATGACCTCGGCTTTGACTGCTGCTAGTAGAAGCAGCTTCTTTACTCCTAGAAATGCTAGCAATATCCGCAGAAGTATCCAACAAATCGCTTTCTTCCACAGCGCTAACTTCCATCACTTCTTTACCAACACTGACACTGCAATCTTTCCGTTTTCTCTTGCCTCGTTTCTTCCTCATACTCAGAAGCACTTGTCCTCCACCCCCATACACTGACTCAAAAATGTCGCTGTGTAATAGGTTTTTCGTCTTCTCTTGCTCTATTACTACTGGAGCTTCTGACTTAGCTTCCGGTGACCAGTTTGTTGTGGTCTGCTCTTGCTGTGTGAAACTACCAACTGATGACAAGTCTTTGGATGTATCTTTGCTCGTGCATTCTCCTCCGCCCTCGGATTTCGGGGAGGGTTCAAGTGATAACGTTCGGCTAGAATCATAATTGTTTTGATGACATTCATCGTTACTTTCTGACTTCAGACTCTGAAGCTTTGATTCCAAAGACCTGAAAACAGTATTTCATTGCACAGAATTGAACATTCAAAATCTGGTTCTTCCTTTGATTCCAAGACATGAAAACGTTTAAGCCATTAGAAAGAAATATAAAAAAAACAAATGCTAACCCAATCGAGTCATCGGATTTAAGTAAAGCTGCCTTAAGCTCAGCTACTCGTTTCTTCTTAAGCTCTTCAAACCAAGCTCTACAAGAACATAAACATATGAAGAAACACGGTAAATTTTAATTCACAAAAGTCATGTATCCGACAAGAAAAAGTGTTGAAGAACAAGCAAAAACAAGTCTTTACTTGCATCCCAAATAACGTTTTCGCAAGTCCTTGTACTTGGCCTTGCATATCTGCAAATAAGAGTAGGAATTAGCAGATTCAAAAGATAGACAATATCTGAATTGAGTTAACTCAGCCCTGCAATATCACACAAACCACAAGACATTTTCTAATTTCTTGCATTATTCAATGTGAATAAGTTTCCAATTCGAGAAGAAGTATAAAGAGTATCTACAATTGTCTTAAGTTAAGAACAAGAAAATTCATTTTTTTTTACATGACCCTAAACCTTTCTTGACACACAAGTGATGAATCTATGCTTCTAAATCCACCGACAACAACACTGTGTTTTGCCTCAAGCTTTAACTTCTTTTTTTTTTTTTTTAAATTTGAAAAATCAATTTCACAGTAACATAACAAATTTCGCATAAAATGACCTGATCTGATTTTATTTTTGATTCTAACACATTAACCTAATCGAAAATTTAGAAATGAATTTTAAAATTAAAGAGAAATGAGGAGATTGAGAGAGAGAGAACAAACCTCAGGTGTGAAAATCTCAGGTAGAGAATGAGAACGGAGTTCGTCGGCAACGACGGTCCAATCACCGGTTCCATGACGGAGAACAGCGCCGCCGAGAAGAAGCTCCTCCCATGTTCCCCAATCACTCTCCATCGTCGTCGTTATCATCACCATAACCATCAAAAAATAAATCACGCGTGTGCGTTACGCGCTCCTCGATTTTGAAAAAAAAAAACTCAAAGTTAAACTACGCACCCCTAGCGCACGTTAGCTCCTTTCACCTAACCTTCCCTTTCTTTCTCCGACCACTCAATTCTCAAAAAAAAAAAACGAAAAAAAACAGAGACGGAGACAACAAACCAAGAACCTAAAAAAATATATATATTGTAATCTGGTATGATAAGACAAGAAACCAGAAAAAGCCGTTACGAGTGGGTTGGTGTCGGAGGTAAATTACACGAAAAGCTGTTTTCCGACAAGAAAATGGGGGAGAAAAATTAAATGAAAATTCAAAATTAGTAAGAAGGAAAAAAAAAAAAAAAAATCTGAGGTGGGAGAGAAAGAGTTGACGAAGGGTCTGGATTTGTTCGACGTTTGTGAAATGGAAGAAATTGGAAATTGATGGTTGTGGTTTGTTTTATTTGTTTTTTCTTGTTTTGTTCAAATGGCAAATACAAGAAGAAGATTGGTTTGTTTTTGAACAAAGAAGAAGACTTAGACTAGATTTGTGTGCCTTTGTTTCTTATTTTTGTCTAAATAAAGTAATTTTAATTTAAACAGAATTTTTCTATCTTTTCTTTATTTATTCGATTTTTTCGTCATTACCACAACTTGTTGGAATAATTATTTTTAGACAATAGTGTTTTTATAATACCCAAAATCCAAACTAATTTTAATTATTGAATTATATAGCGGACATTATTAAATTAATAGTCTTTATGCCCCCTTGATCAATATAACAAAATTCAATACATCATTCCATTTGACTAGAAATAGACCCACGCGTTGCGTGGGTTTAATAATATATATTCAATCTTTTCTAGTTTTGTAAATTACATTATTATAAAAAAATATATTAGAATACTATTTAAAATATATATGTAATTCTATTGGTAAAAAGCGGTTATATAAATATAATATAAATGTTATAAGTGATAATTGTATAGATATACACGTCTATTTATAATATGCTACATATATTAAACGTTTTTTTTTGTATTTGACTTAGTATCCTATGAGCGTTCATTATATATATTCTCTTTCAATGCATGAATTCTTATGAATACCATTTTTTTTTTATAATTCTAGAAACTCAAATGTGATATTTTAAATGTGGTTTATTTTTTCTAATTTATATCTATTATATTTAGAAGAAAAAAAGAAAAAAAAATATACTTATATATATATATATATATCTCATTTTATATATTTGCTTTTTCTTTAGGAATTTAGCTTTCTGAGACTAATTTTGTCACTATTATTTTTCTTTTTACTTTTTTGTTTCTATCTTATTAAATTCAATGTTGCAATTGTGCTCTTTCTATCTCTTTTTGATATTTTTAAAATAAACTTTTATATTTTTAATAAGTGCATAATATTTGTATTACTATCAAATGCATTTATACATTTACTTATATAAAATTTTATATTATATTTATAAAAAGCTAAAATATTAAAAGTATACATAATTATATTTTAGTTTTGTTTTAAATTATTATACACGATACTATTTAGCTATATTTTAACATTTTGTTTACTGTAGTTTACAAACTAATCAACTATTGTTTCAATTAGTAATATGTCATAAAATTCATCACTAATTCACTATATAGTTTTTTTAAAAAAAACTAAAAATGTATGCCTTTTCAACTTTCATAGAATTTTAGAATTACCCAACATATTGATTTTTAAGTATTTCATGATTCATTACTATATTTGTTTTTTGAAAGCTAATAAATGTATGATTTTTCAACTTTCATACAATTTTTGCAATAACCATCATATTGATTTTGAATATATCAATTTTAAAACTGAAATATCCATCATATTGATTTTTAATATATCAATTTTAAAACGGAAATGTTTATAAAATTTTAAATATGATCAATCTTAAACATTTTCTCGCTAAAATTCAATTTCTATTATTATGTATAAGTTTCTATTTCTTTGTTTTTTACTTATAATATTAATTCATTTGTATTTAACTTAAATATTTTTAATCATAAATAACAATAACTAAAAATAAATATGTATTGAATGAGCATTTAAAATAAATTATATTTTCAATTTTTAATTAAATGCATGCTTAGGTGAATGATGATGTTGATAGCCTAGATGGAGAGAAGACTAAATTATATTATTATGTATAAATTTATATTTCTTTGTTTTTTACTTATAATATTAATTTATTTGTATTTAACTTAAATATTTTTAATCATAAATAACAATAACTAAAAATAAATATGTATTGAATGAACATTTTAAATAAATTAAATTTTTAATTTTTAATTAAATGCATGCTTAGGTGGTAGATGATGTGGATAGCTTAGATGGAGAGAAGACTCTCCTATTATATATATAGATTTTATTTGTGTTTAATATCGTACAAAAGCAAACGAATATTTTCGTCCATTCGTTAATCTATGGCCTAATTTGGATGTTTCAGTAACCAAACTAATATCATGATCAATAGTAATCACTTGATTTAAGATTTGAAAAGTTAAATATATATTAAAAAACTTTTGATCATAATTATATGTTTTTCAACTATTTTTTAGAAATATTAACTTGTATCCAAATTAGCTACTTCTTTTGTTTATCCCCCATTATTTAATTAAAGACAAGAAATTTCTTCGTATATTCGTTAATCTATTTCCTAATTTTGGGATAGACGAAGACCAAATATTCATATAACATCGACTGTAACTATACTATCTGAAATATGTCATTATCACGTTTGGTAGATGAACACTCTTTGATAAGTCTATATTCTTAAACTCTACATGACACATGACCAATTCCAAAACTCGGATATATGTCGAGCGACCAAAATGAATTTTCATATACTGATGGTGTCTTCTCATTAGGATTGCACATTACATTCACATGGAGAGAGAGAGACATTGTAATTGACATTTCAGCTAAACATTTGAGATTCAGTGAATCAAGAATCTGAAGCACATACAACTTTAATCCCAGAGACGGATCGATTTACAGCCATATACCAAATTTTTCCCGGAGTGATTTTTCGTGTTCTCTTGGCGCAATTCTATCTCAAAACCCGCCACAAGAACCTGCGACTTTTCAGCGAATCTTCAATACAAAATCACCAGGAGGAACATGAAAACGATTCTTGAAAATGTACAGATTGGAAAACTCAGCGGGAGGGGTTACGGTTCGCAAGTGATTACGATTGGTCTTGAAGCTGAACCTAAAGCTATGGTGTTTGAAGAACTAGGTTTAGTTCTTGAGCCTTTCTTGCTATGAGACCACCTCTTCTGTAGTTAATGGAAGAGGGCAAAAACAAAAGGGAAAAACAATTACACAACCGAAAGCAAATACCGATCAACCAGAGCTGTCATGCTTGCAATGGTTCAGAACAATATCTGTAAAAAAAGTTCTTTTACCTTGTCAGTAGTGGAAGAATCTTGTGAACCTTTTGCAATTCCGCAGAACAGCTTTGGCAGATCTGTAACCTGCATTTCTCAATTTGTTTTAACTTTCTGGGAAAAGAGAATTAAGTGTGACAAAAGGTGTGGCATGAAGATATAAGAGGAGCCGAAAGTATAAGTACCTTTCTTCTGCGTGAAGATCAACGCCAACAACTCGTCGTGCTGAAACAGTTGATTGAATAACTGTACCAAACACTGCTACAAGCTTCAAGAGCATTTCCAAGGAGACATTTACAGGCCTATACAAAATTAAAATCACATGTTGCTTTCCTCTGTTAACTCGAAAAGCTCATAACTTTAACAAACAAACAGAGACTGCAATTAACAAATGGATTTTCTTGACATTCCCTCATTCACAAGCCAAATGTTGGAGACGACTTTATTATATCTTAAAACTAAAAGCAAACCAAAGAAGGTTGAATATAGAATAAGATAATTTACCTCTCAGTCCTGCTGCCCAATAAGCCTGTAAGGACGGGTGCTAATTGAGAAAACAGATCCAATGTTAAAATTTCTGTTTTGTCTGTTAGGATACTGATCACATCTGCTTGAACCTGTTCCAGTTTAAGCGAGTCAGCTTTTTCCAAACATCTAAGCATAAACAAAAAAAGACAGGCAAAAGTATATCTATTGGGGTACTTACAGAGTGATCTGACAGCTTTCTCAAGGCCATGATCGCGCCTTTTATATCACTACGTTCCCAAAAATGTCTTACAATCTGCATGTTTGTGATAAATCAACCATTTAGTTTACCCTCAAAACCAGAAAAAACACAAAGAGAAAAACAAAATTTACCTGTAATTTTGTCAACCTTGATTGAAGAGTGTTTAAGACCTCATTATGAGTTTGCATTAAAGTCTCCCAAATGTCACCATCATTCTCCCTCCCAGATATCTGAGGTTCTTCCTTCTGCAAAAGTCAAACAAATCAAATGTATTCAGAGCTCTTCCAACTTTGTAATCCTTGCAATTTCATATTTTATGTATAGCATCAGCGACTACTACATTCAATTATACAACTAGCTACATATCAAAGTTGGAGAAAGTACGATGTCTATCAGTTTCCGAAACTTATCATTGAAGCTTACCTGGGTCAAGATATCAGAAGCTTGTTGAGTTTGTGTAATATATGTCTTATCTAGTGTCAAATCAGTCACCTGATCAAGTACTGCAGGTGTTGCCAGCGTTTGAGTTGGGCTAAATCTTTGCTTGGATCTTATATGAGATGCATCAGATGTTACACTAATTGCTTGATTGAGTTTCACAGGAATTACACGGGCGGGAGAGTTCCTAGCTGATCGTGTTAATGCAACTGGAGGCTCATACGATGGCATATTATCTGCTTGATTGAGTTGCATAGGCAGTACACGGGCTGGAGAAGTTCTAGCTGATCGTGAAGATGATAAAGGACGCTCATCATACGTGTTAGATGCTTGATTGAGTATCACAGGCATTACTCGCGCCGAAGAAGTCCTAAGTGGTCTTGTTGATATTACAGGCTCATCAGATTTCATGTTAGTTGTTTGACGCTGACTGAGTATCACAGGCATAACTGGGGCTGGAGAAGTCTTAGCTTGTCGTGTTGATGTTACAGGAGACTCATCAGATGTCAGATTAGTAGCTGAAGGCCTATCAGGTCGTGTTGATGTTACAGGAGACTCATCAGATGTCAAATTAGTGGCTGAAGGCCTATGAGGTTGTGTTGATGTTACAGGAGGCTCATCAGATTTCATTTTTGTTGTCTGATTGAGTATCATAGGCATGACTGGGGCTGGAGAAATCCTAGTTTGTCGTGTTGATGTTACACCAGATACATCAGATGTCAAATTAGTAGCCGAAGTCCTATAAGGTCGGGTTGATGTTCCAGGAGGCGTATCAGTTGCCATGCTAGTGTCCCGGCCGAGTACCACAGGCATTACTCTGACTGGAGTACTCCTAGTTCGTCGTGTTGATAACACAGGAGCTTCAACTGTCGTCGAGTTAGTTGCCTGATCAAGTTTAACTGGCATTACCTGGGTAGGCGTCGTGCTAACTGCTTGTACCGATGCTGTCAGGGGCTCTTCCTCTACAGCATTAGTGCTCTGAACTATTGTTGCACTGGCTGCTTTATCTTCAGAAGGAGTAATTTTTTCCCCTCTTTCAAACCTCTCAACCAATGACCGTGTCCTTCCCGAAACAACTTTTACTGCAAACATAGTAGTTTTTAAAGAATCAATAACCAGATGACTTATATGCTACCAAAGAAAAACAACAACAGCAAACTTTGAATGGCTAACCTCCTCTAACAACCTTCACAGAGTTTGATTCTTTCCTACCTCCAGGGGATTCAAGGCCTACATGACATAATATTTATAACCAATTATAAAATGATTGTTGCCTGAAGACCAAGTAACTTGACCACAACGGACAAGGGAACTGTAAAGGAAGTCCTAAACGTAGCTAAAGATTTAGATGTAGCAACCTACAAGCTAATGCTATTATTACTCTTCTGCCGGCTCATTCTTTCAGATTGATTTTTCTTGTAGACTGTCTCTAATTCAGTAAATCAATCCTTAATTAACAGTTTAAAAAGGCAAAAGGAATCCAAACACATAACGTTTCACTAGTTTTAGCATTGACTTTAGGAGCAAAATCCCCATTAATTAGTCAATTTTGAATCAAGAACTTACTTTTTAGTTCATCACCAGGTTTCTCTGGTGATAGAACTCTTTCTGACCTACTTGAAATGCTCTTGTTATCGATATCTTCCTCACACAGGTTACTACCTCTGTCATCCTTATGCCCTGTTGGCAAGTCCATGTCTCTTGAGGACTCTAACCCACTCTTTTTACTGTCTAAAGCTTCAGAATCAACAGATGTCGCCCAGCTTGCATCATTGTACTTAGTACTTGGTGACCTCTGTACACGAGGCGGTTTCAGCGACATACCTGAGTCAAAGATTGCAAGATTTCCAAAAGGATAGGATTAGATCATCTGAAAGCTCAAATCTGATGAAACTAAAGTATGAACTGGGAGAACCTACATTTCGCTTCATCAGTCGGTGATTCTGGTAATAAAGCTTGTTCAAACTTGTTGGTTATACTCTTGATGATAGAATCGTCGGCATCATATGGTTTCCTACCACTCATTTCTGAATCAAACGCCGTCTCAGTATCTAGCTCCGTCTCACCGTCCAATCCACTTTTCTTTAAATATCCAGATTGAACAGCCACTGACTGCTTCTTTGTTTCATCAAACTTTGTTGGCGTCTTTCTTACATGAGCCGGTCTCAACAGCATGCCTGGCTTTGTTTTTGAGAAAGTGATAGATTCCTTTCCCGAATCAGAAGAGTCTTTCCCAATATCACTATCCCGTGGCACAACACTATGCACTACTAAAGACTTATTATCCCCTGCTTGTCCAGTAGAAGTTGCTTTGACTTTCGTAGTACTTAGAGATCCTGACTTATGTGCAACAGCCGAATTTCCACCTGTAGCTTTGAAGAGAAGAGAGAATATTAAACCAAATATAAACGATAAGCATACAGAAGTGAGAGGCAAACGAAAATTACACTGTTGCAGTACAGAAACTGACATTAAAGACTAAAAATAACAGTCCAGGTCACAATGGTTATGGCTAGCGATATTTAATTCATTCAGAAAAGAAGACCACCATTTCAGTCTCAATTTCAATAGCTACAAAATTTAGTAATAAACAAAAACACATGTACAGAAAATATATGATTAAAGCAGGCCTAAAGATAAGGTAGCTTTCCTATCACTAATACAAGAAAACCAGAGTTATTGATCTCTATTAATAGTCCATCGCAATTAATCGTTAAGTGTTGACTCAATTTCTAGATACAGGTGACAATAACTAGTAAGCTACCGTCCAGGGACTTCTTAGGACCTAACCAAAACCCTGCCATATCCTACTTGAAAGGAGAAAAATGAATCCACAAACATCGAAACAAAATTAATATTCACTCACAGTCGATGTATATGTTTTTTATCTCTTTCGTTTCATAATCTGGAGATGAGCTGCGCCTTGGGCTACTCCTTATTTTATCGGAGGACTGATCGTCCAGAGCACTGAGTATTTTCTCCACGCATTCCTTTTTATCCGCAGATCCAATGCCATATGGCTCAATTTGCTGTTTTAATTAAGGATAAAAGAAAGAACAAAAACATGAGCCTTCGAAACAATCAATTACCAGCTCCACATAACTTTTTAAAGGTATGGACAATCACGATAGCACATACTGATATATCTGAGACCCAAATCCCTACGGAATTTTGGTAGTATGAACAACCCAGGAGCTTCCCTTCGCTGATGCATAAGTCACCAAGCGTTGACCATCCCATATCAACACCATCATGGCAAACCACAGGTTCCCATGAATAAACCTGAATTATGAGCATTCAGCTTATGATATCAATGAATGTTTTTGACTCTGGAGAACCCTTAATATGGTAAAGCTCATCACAAAGACAAATAAAAACCTTTAAGCTATCATCCAAACCACAAAATAGGGTTCGCCCATCCGGATGAAATTTGATTGAACGAACTCCAGTAGCCTGTGAAAACAAGGAAAACACCAGAAATTATGTGAATAACATCTTCCAAGACAAGGCTACAAAGCCAGCTCAACGCCCAAACATATTTCATCAGATGCTGCATTCTGGACTCCATTCACTTATATTTACTTCTCCATATTTTTAAGAACTAAATTTTATCTTGGCATTTCTCTAACAGACTAACACACTCTTCAGAGCAAGACTGAGAGTAAGCAGATTTCTGATTTTTAATATGACCCTTCAAGGTGATCACGCTAAAGGGAAATAAAGGTAAAAACACTTGTGATAGAGTCTCCTGGAAAAACAGTATCTAGTGACACCACAGGCAGTACCTCTGGTCGGGTAGATCCAATCAACTCAAACGTTTCCAAATCCCAGAACTTTACAGTCCTGTCAGCAGAACCTGAATATGAATAGGGGAAAGTGAAATTACAAGACTTCAATACACAATTTTGATTGAAGAGATGTCGGTAGTTAATCAACCAATTGAAAATGCCACCAAGTTACCCCTAAAATGCCTGAAAAACAAAGAATCACAGACTAACCTGTGGCTAGAAGGAACTCAAGTGGGTGGAATTCTAACGAACGGATAGGTCCTTCATGAAACTTAAATTCATGTAAAAGCTTTCCAGCAGTCAAATCCCATACCTATTAAATACAACATATATAGTAGTATCGTTCTAAGATCATAGGTTGAAAAAAAATTATGCACAAGACTCATTTGTTAAAAAAGCTATTCTTACCTTTACAACATTGTCAAGTCCTCCGGACACTACCCAACGACCATCGGGAGTAAACCTGATAGTGTTGATGCCACGAGTATGACCCTTGTACGTCTGTATGCATCCCTTCTTTCTGATGTCCCAGATCTTTAGATTCGCGTCATTTGATCCAGATGCCAAAAATTCACCAAAGGGATGAAATTCAACAGCAGAACAATTGGATCTATGTCCAGTAAAAGCTCGAACCACTACACTTCAAGAGCAAGAGTGAAAATGTTAGACCTCATAAATCTAAACTAAACGATAGATATAGTCTGGTACACTGCTCAAATAACCAGACCCATAATCCACATAGCCGATAACTCAAATAGTATCCAATATGTTCCCATTAAACAAGACTACCTCCGCATATAAGGAGCAACAAATATTCTAAAAGAAAGCAGAAAATCAATAAACTAACTCTTTGCTTCTTCTACATCCCACAGCTTTATCACACCCGAAGAAGCTCCAGCTAACACCAAAACTTCTGCGGAGTCAAAAGCTACTGAATCCACTGCACTAGTATGTCCACATAGACTCTGCCAATAAAAGGATATAGCATCATTCTTCTATCCAATACATTCACAGAAACAAAAACACATACTGAAGAAAGCAAATGCGAAACAAACCATTAAAGAAGTAGGCTTGCCGATCGCCCAAAGGTTGACTTTATAATCATCACCGCCAGTTATAAAAAGCCGCGATGTCTTCTTTCCAATACTTAAGCAATTCACATTTGCAGAATGAGCCAAAAACTCCTCTGAGTTTCATAATCAAGTTAAGTTACAAACAAACAAGAGACAAGAACACATCAACAAAATGAACAACCTTTTGAAGCAACCAGACAGGAAAACATAAAACAGGTCAACAACAATGGATTCAAATCATATCCAGAAAAATTTCAAGATAAAAACATATTAATTGCAGTGTCTTTTTCTATCAATTTGCTCTCAGTTTAATTAAGCAGACAATAATAGAAACATTTTGACCAAATTGAAGAAGAAGCTAATAAACCAAAGTTTGTTTATGAAATAAACCCTAACGATTCAGTGATAAAGAAACTGTCACAATTTCTCAGAATGGAGCTAAATAATTCAGAGTTTGTTCAATCAAACAAAATCGTCAATATAAGGATACGTAGCTTATATCCACGTTTCGCCATTTTTCTACTCGATTTTCAAGCAAATCCGTGAGGAAGAATAGAAATCTGAATCTGGAATCGAATCTGTAGCTTCCTGAATCGATTTAAAAACGATGAATCGGAGCTACAAATCCGAATTGTCACTAGACGACAGAGCTCGAGATTTTTGGGAGATTCAAAGGGAGAAATATGAGAAGAGATCGCTTCCCGTTGAGATTTGAAATCCAAAAACGTGAGAAAGAATCAGATTCGGGAAGAAGATTGAAAGAAACGAGACAAAATCAGATTCAAATAGTGACACGAAGAAGAGAAATAAGAAAGAAACAGAGAAGAAGAAGAAGAAAGAAAATTTGATAAAGCGAAGAAAGTTTTTATTTCTCTGAGAATTTTCACATTTTTATTTATTTATTAATCGGTCGGTCGTTTTTTTTAATTTAAAATAATTAAGCATTTTTCTTGGACAGTGGACCTCTAGTTTCTTCGTTGTTCGTTCTTCTTGGTTCTGACGAAAACACCCTTTTGTCCGGGCATTGAATTCGAGTGGAAATTACGGAAACGCCCTTGCTTCCAATTGACTTCCATTGGTACAGTTTTTTTCTCCAACTCCATCATATAATTTGTTAGTTAATTTTGTCGAAAATATTATTTGATATGTCAGGCAACACGTCATCATCTCTTTGGTTTTGTTTGTTTGTTGAAGACATTTTCAACCTTAGAAATAAATCAAAGTAATTTCAAAAACGTATATTTCTAAAAGTATTTTTGCAAGGCAATCCATAGATGTATCATGTATGATCATGGGCGGACGTACGTTACGATTAAGGGGGCACTTGCCACGGGTAAATTTTTCAAAGTTGGTGTAATTTACAGGAATTTTTAATTTTTAATTATGCCCCTGTTAAATACTTGTTTAATGCCCCCAATTATTCTCTTTTCTTCTTATACAAAGGTTTTGTGTTGTATAATATTATAATTTAAAGTCTATATAATTCAAACACAATACAAATTCTAATTTTATTTTTGTTTTCTTTGTAAATAAGCTCATATTTCAATGATAAAATAACTTTAAATCACTTTTGTTAACTTGAAAAAATTAATCAAATGCTTTAACTTACTTAGAAGATTCATTTATGTTAATAAAATTATAGTTTTTTTTATTTAATATTATTGCCCCGGATAAAATTAATTCCTAGATCCGCCACTGTGTATGATGGATGATAACCGGCGTTAAAAATAGAGGAAGAGATATGATTATAATTATGGTAATATTGACGTAAAAATGTGTGTTTTTTTTGGCGAAATAGAATTATATTGAGCTTGAATAATTCAAATACAATTGTTGTTCAAGCCAAAGTAGCGGATTAGCTACATCAATATAAAAACTGGAATTTAAACAATCAAACTTTATTAGTTTAAAAAAAAAAAAACAAACAAAAATCTTTATTAGTTTATGAGTCACTTCATTACAACGACATTTCATATAAACAAATATATGTTGTGTTTTTATCGGTTTTGAGTCTTTGTTTTCTTTCTTAGATCATATGTTTTATAGAGTCAAAGTGTGTTTTTAGAGTTTTTAGTTCTTTTTCAAGTCTCTACAGGTTTTAGGTTGCTTTGGAGAAAAACGAACTGTTTTGGGATATAAAAACATTTTTGGAGATGCGGTTTCGTTTATAAGTATCAGACGTTTGGCCTCAGATGGAATACTTCCCACCTTTAGATCTTTCTGAATTTTTGATACAAGATAGATGCAGATGTTAGCTTGAGTTTACAAGTGGTTTGAAGGAAGTCTAACGGTGCATTAAAGAGTTATACCCGAATTAGTGAAGACAGGTCATTCTGCCGAGCATTTGAAGCAGTTGTGGAGTTGGAGACCAGAAGATCCAGATCGATCGATCCATAGGTGATCGATCGATCCCATTCCTCTGACGGACGAGAAGCAGTTTCCAGTGACTCGGGATCGATCGATTCACCCACCGGATCGATCGATCCAACCCCAGACGCCCAGTTTGGTTTTTCTTAACCAGTTTTATTTCCTATTTTCTGTAATTGGGTATAAAAACCCCAGAGACCTAATTTTCTCAGGACGTTTTCTTTCTGCAATTTTTCTGAGACTTTTCTCTTGTAAGCAACCTTGGGATTCTAGAGATTCATCCTCTTTGACAATTTGGAGAAGATTTCTAAACCATATTTCTTATTTTCATTGCAATTCAATTATGTCTTCTTCATCTATTTGTCTTGTTTCTGTTGCTATGTGTGAGTAGTTCTCGAATTGGGTTTTAGGGTTCTAATTAGGAGATTCAATGGATTAATGGATTGATTGTTATTAGGAGTTCTTATTCCTTAGGTTCTTTGATTCACATGTTCTTAATGCTAGAATAGGATTGATCACCCTGTCGTAGATTCTAGGTTTTTCTATGCATCAAAAGTGTTCGATAGAATGCCTGAACCAATGTGAATTGAGCAATGTATGCTTAGCCAACAAAAGTTGACGTTAGGACGCATTGTGAACTTAATGAACTTGTTTGATAATGCGAATTTGACTAGGAAATTACATGCGAAAGTTTAGTAATCGAATAGTCAAATTTAGTGATTAATGTCTTGAAAGAGAATTAGTCTAAATGTGTTCATGTTCAAGAACGGTACTTAATTGTTGAATTCCTTGTCTCATGTTTCCATTATTTATTGATCTCTGAAATACCCTATGGCCCAATGTCTTTAAATCTTGATAGTTAAATCGTTTAATTTATTTGCATTTTATTTTAAAATCTGAAAACTCAAACAAAACAACCTTTCACTTTAGCTAAGAACGAGTCTCGGAAATCTTTAGTGTACCATTGGTTGTTGTGGATCGACCCCGTATATACTAACTTGCGGTTAAGTGTATCGGGTAATTACTCGAGCAATCAAAATCATATTTCTTTACAGTTCTTGGACCGGTAGATATCTCCATACAATGACACAAAGAAAGAATCTCAACATGCTTCACAAAACAGAAGAAGTGCAACGTTTCGACGTTCTAGTACATTTTTTCTACATATGTTGTTAGTCCATTATTATCTACATAATTATGGTCCTTGAAGTGATTTCCGTTGATTCTCTATGATTTAGATCACTATTTTAATGACTCTTTTGTTGTAATTTTCTTAAATCTTGCAAGGTTTGTGGGTTTCATTACGATTAACAACAATGAGATGATATACTGACTATAAGCATTTCAAAAAACATTTTTTCTTTGGCTTATTGATTTATAGAAAAACATTGGAATAAGAAAATAAATCTTATGGTGAGTGGTGAATCTTATGGTGAGTTATAGAAAAGAAACGTTCCATTTTTCAGGGATTTTGCGGAGGGTTTGTGGTGAATCTTTGATACAATCTACGTTCTACTAAGACGGATCTACCTTGAATCGTTTTGAATGTTAAGAGAGCTTAAATTGGGTTTTGGATGGTTTCGTGCTGGCTCATAAAGATGCCTAGATCACTTCTCCGAGACAAGATGAGGCATATTCAAATCCTTGTTCTGATGCTTTTAAGGGAATGGGATAGCAAAGAAAACGAACCAGGCTTGACAAAAGAGAGAAGGAAAGAAGATGGAGTTCACCACAAATACTCAACAAGATTGATCATGTGTGGACTCGCAGCTACGTCAAATTGTCTTTGGAGAAAATAGATGGACTGAGGTTCGAGACAGAAGAATGACTGAGCGAAATTAAGTGTCTGAATTTGTTTTTGGATTTCTTGTTTTAATGATACGTTGCAGGAGAAAGGAATGTGGAAACTCTGAAAATAAGGAAGACTGTTGGATTTGAACCTTTGATTAAATCTGCAAAAGAGAAAAGCTTCAAGTGAGAAGAAGAAGAAGATGAAGAATAGAAGAACAGAGCAAAGCGCCAAAGTTGTCGAAGAAGAAGAGTCAACATAAGAGAAGAGAAAGTCAAAGAGGAAGCTATTGGGCTGGAGCGAAGCCCACTTAGTAATTGTGTGTTTTTGGTTAGTGAATGGTCCATCAGTAGAGTTGAGCCCAGATTATGTGTTGTGCTTATAACTAAGCTAAGCTAGAGTAGCTAAAGAGTGGTTGATGGTTGTAAGAAGTGTAAACTAGTTGATTAACCTTGCTTGTAAGTTTGGTTATAGTCTTAGGGTGATAATGCCTAGAAGTATGGTCTAGAGTCTAAGTGTGTCTAGAGTAGCAAGTGGAGATAAACCACTATATGTATGTATTATGTGTGTTGTGTAAGAATCATCCTTGTGATCCAATATTATCAATGTAGAAGATTAAAGGAGTTCTCTCTTCTCTCTTAGTTACTAAACGTTTGTGTTTTATGAAGTGAAACAAAACAAGAACAAGAGAGTTAAGAGAGATTGATGTTCTCTGTCTTTGTTAAAACAGAGAGAGAAACTGAAAGTTAAGGTGGTGAAAGTGAGAAATCCAACAAAGACTCTCTCTTGTGAAGTGAAATTGGCTCTTTTTGTTGCCCAATGTTGCCCAAAAAAAAAAAAAAAAAAAAGCCACCACTAGACATAGCTTAGAGAATTAGATCACAGTTTTAGTATCTTCAGACTAAGTTTAGGGGATTCATATTAGAGAACCTGAGTACAGGATCTTCATGATTTAGCAAAATCACTTGTAGCATTTATGGGAAGCTTTCTCAGCTTTGGACAGCGATATGCAGTTATGTGCTTCAATAATGGAAAGGGGAGAGGACTCCAGTAGATACTCTCCAGCTTAGGCAAATAAACCAAATATAAGCTTTCTAGTTTCTGAAATGGTGAAATAGCTGTAAGATTGGTTGCTTTCTCTTTGTTTATAATTTCTTCCACTTCATCTGAATATTGAAATTGTAGGGACACAAGATTTGGAGCAAACAATAGCCAAGTCAGATCCTTCATGCTGTATAGCAAGGAAAATGTGGGATTTAATGGTGATTCCCAAGGATTTCGACAACGGCGCTAAATTTGATATGGATCACACTCTTATAAGGTAATGTCTAGTATGGTCACACTCTTATAAGGTAATGTCTAGTATATACTAGAGAATCCAATGAGATACCCAAAAAATTAAATCTTTATACATATCTCACCTAGATATTTTTCAAAAACGATGAATTGATGATGGTAAAAAAAATCATATTTTTGGGAGAAAAATGTACTATGCTAAAAATTCATCCTCTTTTAGGACTACCCTAAAATTTTATAAGCTTGACACATAATTCTTGGACGCCAAACTCAAAAATATGTAAACAAGTCATTTTTCCTATATCCAAATTTGAATTTGTGATCTTGATGCACTCTACTTTAGAAACTCTCATAGTACACCAATAGAACTACATATACTTGGGTAAAACTGAA